CCATGGATGGGGACATGGGAGGACGTGGCCATGGGTGGGGACATGGGGACCTGGATGGGGACATGGGGACATGGATGGAGACACGGGGCGTGGGGGGATGTGGCCATGGATGGGGACATGGCCATGGATGGGGACGTGGCCATGGATGGGGACATGGGGACATGGCCATGGATGGGGACATGACCATGGATGGGGACATGGGAGGACGTGGCCATGGGTGGGGACATGGGGACCTGGATGGGGACATGGGGACATGGATGGAGACACGGGGCGTGGGGGGATGTGGCCATGGATGGGGACATGGCCATGGATGGGGACGTGGCCATGGATGGGGACATGGGGACATGGCCATGGATGGGGACATGTGGCCCAGGGGACATGTCCATGACAGGACAGGGACGTGCGGCATGTGGGGATGTGGCTATGGATGGCAACATGGCCATGGATGGGGACATGTGGCACGGGGTGACACATCCATGAATGGTGACACGTGGCATGGAGGGACACGTCCATGCCAGGTCAGGGACATGTGACATGGGTGGGACATGTCCATGACAGAACAGTGACATGTGGCCCAGGAGGACACATCCATGCCAGGATGGTGACACGTGGCGTGGAGGGACATGTCCATGCCATGAGGTGGCACGTGATCAAGGAGGTCACATCCCCACCACCCTACCCCGTCCCCCGCCTCACCACCAGGACACCGTCCCCTCCGTGCCACCATTTATTCACCGCTCCTCCCTCGGGTGGGATGGCCACCGCGCAGGGTGTCCCCCGTGTCCCCCGTGTCCCCGTGTCCCTCAGGCCACCTCCGGCAGCGGCTCCAGCAGCAGCCAGAGCCCGTCCTCAGCGCGGAGGATGAGCTCGGTCTTGCGGCGCGGTGGCCGCCCCGCGTCCAGCCGGATGGTGAAGCGTGCCAGCGTCAACGCCGCCACCACCTTCAGCTCGGCCATGGCAAAGCTCTGCCCGATGCAGTTCCTGCCACCGTGTCCCCCTCTGTCACCTCCATGGGGGGGACGCAGGGGACAGCAGACCCCCCCCCCCACCATCTAGGTGGTGGAGCAGATGGAACCTCCTCGAAACGTAGGGATGGCGTTGTTCCCGTCACACCCAAACGTCACAGCTTGGGGACAACCACCCCGCCTTGAACCCAACCAGGCTGGGGGGGTGACACATGGGGACACTCGTGTCCCCACCATGGCTTACCTGGGACCGGCGGAGAAGGGGATGAAGGCCAACGGGGACCGTCCCTGGCTGTTCTCCGGGCTGAACCTCAGTGGGTTGTAGACCTGGAGTGACACGGACAGCGTCACGCCTTGGGGACATGGTTGTCCCTCCCCATGGTGACGGGGACATCCCGCTGTCCCATGGTGATGCCACCAGGGCCAAGTGGCTCTACCTGGGGCTCGGGCCAGATGTCCGGGTTGTGGTGGGTCCCGTAGATGCTCAGCAAGCAGATGATCCCTGGTGAGATGGAAACGGACACCTTAGGGACAGGGGACAAGGAGGGATGGTGACATTGGGGACAGCTTGCACCCCGGGCAAGCCGTACCCTTGGGGATGACGCGTCTGTCATGCAGGGTGATGTCCTCGGTGCAGCGCCGGGCCACGGCGGTGACAGGGGGATGCAGGCGGAGGCTCTCCTTGATGCACATGGTGGTGAAGGGCAGGTGGGACAGGTCCTCCCTGGGGGCGAGGGATGGTGGCACCAGCGTCCCCAAGCCGGGTGGCCGGGCGATGACACCGGGGACATCTCACCATTCGATCTCCTCCACGTCCCTGCCCTTGAGGAGCTGGCGGACCTCCTGGCGGCACCGCTCCTGGTAGTGGGGGTGGCGGGCCAGGTTGTAGAGCAGCCATGCCAAGCCGCTGGCCGTCGTGTCGTGGCCTGCAGGGACGAGGGGTGAGCGAGGGGACGTGTGAGTCCCCTCCCTCTGATGGCACCTGGTGGCTTCCCCTCACCCTCAAACATGAAGGTGTCAGCCTCGGCCGAGATGTCCTCATCTGACAAGGTGTTGCCGTCCTCGTCCTGCAAGGGTGAGCGTGGCAGCCAAGGGGCCACCAGTCTATGGCCAACCCTCCCCATGGCCACCACAGTTCCCCTGTGGCCACCACCATCTCCCTATGGCCACCACCCTATGGCCAACCTTCCCCATGGCCACCAGCATTCCCTTGGCCACCACCATGCCACTAGGGCCACCACCCTACGGCCAACCTTCCCCATGGCCACCACCATTCCCTTGATCACTACCATCCCCCTATGGCCAACCTTCCCCATGGCCACCACCATCCTCTTGGCCACCACCAGGCTGCTATGGCCACCGCCCTATGGCCAGCCTTTCCCATGGCCACCAGCATTCCCTTGGCCACCCCCAGGCTGCTATGGCCACCGCCCTATGGCCAGCCTTTCCCATGGCCACCAGCATTCCCTTGGCCACCCCCAGGCTGCTATGGCCACCGCCCTATGGCCAGCCTTTCCCATGGCCACCAGCATTCCCTTGGCCACCCCCAGGCTGCTATGGCCACCGCCCTATGGCCAGCCTTTCCCATGGCCACCAGCATTCCCTTGGCCACCACCAGGCTGCTATGGCCACCACCCTATGGGTAACGTTCCCCATGGCCACCAGCATTCCCTTGGCCACCACCAGGCTGCTATGGCCACCACCCTATGGGTAACGTTCCCCATGGCCACCAGCATTCCCTTGGCCACCACCAGGCTGCTATGGCCACCACCCTATGGGTAACGTTCCCCATGGCCACCAGCATTCCCTTGGCCACCACCAGGCCACTATGGCCAACCCTACCCACGGCCACATCATCTCACCCTGGCGCTACCTTAGCGAGCAGGAGAAGGTCAATGAAGTCCATCCTCCGTCCCTGGTGGCTCTCCAGCCAGGCCTGGTGGCCGAGGCGGTCGAGGGCCTGGCGCCGACGCTGCACCACGGCAGCGGTGAAGCTGTGCACGGTGGCGCAGGCTCGGGCGAAGCGGCGCCCGTCGGCCGAGAGGCGGTAGAGCCACGTTGGGTGATGGAGCAAGCGGTGATGGCGTCTCACCACCAAGGTGCTCAGCTCCAGGATGGCCTTGATGTACTCGCTGGGCTGCCTGTGGGGCACCGGGGACGGCCACCGTGGGCCACCGTGGGCCAGCAGGGACAGCCATCCCCGTGGCCATGGTGATGGGTGCAAAGCCCAGGGGGGCTGGGGTCCCAGGTGGGGACAAAACCAGGGCAGGGGACCCCAGTTCGGGTAGGGGGACGCAGGGGGAGACAATGTTGGGATGGTGGGGACCTTGATGGGTGCAAAGCCCAGGGGGGACACCAGCTGGGGACAAAACCAGGGCAGGGGACCCCAGTTGGGGACCGAGCTAGGGCAGGGGACCCCAGGTGGGGACAAAACCAGGGCAGGGGACCCCACTTGGGGTAGGGGGACTCAGGGGGGGACAAGGTTGGGATGGTGGGGACCTTGATGGGTGCAAAGCCCGGGGGGGACCCCAGTTGGGGACAAAACCAGGACAAGGGGGGACCACAAGGGGTGACAGGCGGGGGGGGGGGGGACCCCAGTTGGGGTAGGGGGACGCAGGGGGGGACAACATTGGGATGGTGGGGACCTTGATGGGTGCAAAGCCCAGGGGGGACCCCAGTTGGGGACAAAACCAGGGCAGGGGACCCCAGGAGGGGACAAAGCCGGGCCAAGGAGGGACCCTGATGGGTGCAAAGCCCAGGGGGACCCCAGTTGGGGACCGAGCCAGGGCAGGGGGGACCCCAGGAGGGGACAGAGGTGGGGTAAGGGATGTCCCTTGCGGGGGGACGGGGACGGCGCTGGGGACAGGGTGACGCTCACTCCTGGCAGCGGCTCTCGTGGCTGAAGATGCATTTCTGGAGGGTGTCCAGGGTGAGGAGGCTGAGCGGCTCCAGCACCTCCAGCCCCACCGGGCCCCCCGCTGCCTGCGCCGCTGCCCGCCCCCTGGCCCGCGGGCCGGGGGG